AAACGTTAAAGAAGTTTTTTTTTTTTTTTTTTATATAACTTGGTTCTAAAATACTTTTTCTAGAGCAGGTAGGCTCAGAAAATTAGCGACAGAATAAAGATCAAAGTGGCAAGCTCCAGTGAATCAGCAGTAGAGGCTTAATGGTTTGCTTCATTGGTAAGAATTTAACTCCTGAAATTTATCTATTCAATGCCAACTCCTTCACGGAATTTCCAAGATTTATACTGGCCTTAGCCTATACACAAAAGAAACTATAGCAAAACAAGATGCCTCTTTGAGGTAACTATTTTCTAAGGCCATTAACGCAAATATTCCTGTGCTGGCGCCTGTGGAGCTCTGGAGACAGTGTTCCAGCAGTAGTATTCACACTTCCCTACTCAACAGTGACTCCAATGTGGAGATAAAATACACCCCTCTATATTCAGTTGTGAGCTTAACTCCTTGGAATCCAAAATGGACCTAGTTGAGACCTTGTGCCATTAAAAGAATATTACAAAAAAAAATTACAAAGAGGCTGGTCATTCAGGTTTTTGTCCAAACCGGCATATTTTCACAGCAAAATGACGTGCTATTTATTAAAATGAGATTCAACAGGTATAAATCAGGACTATCCGGGGCAACCGGGGATATAAGGACAGCTTAGGTAGGGAGAAAGAAGATGTGCAACTGTATAAATAAAAAGCAAAAGAAAAACAAAGTTCCCTGTACTACTGTTTGAATAATGAAGGGATCTAGTAATGAAGGGACGCTGAAAGCATCCACTGCCAAGACAAATTTTAGATAACCGGCTGACAAAGTACTGAATATTTGCTCTTTTACAAAACGCAAAAGGTTCTGACAGTTCTGGCACCAACTTTGGAGAGCTAGAAGGCAGAGACTGGAAGAACACTGTCATTTGGTACAGAGTCAGACATCTTAATCTGACTCAGGCCATCCTAGTGACAGGGCAGCTTTGGAGATCGGTCTACAGAGGCTTGTCTCTGATCCCCTTACAGCACCCAGCATAGTAAGGACTTGATAAACATACTGCCCTGGTGAACGGGGCTGATAAAAGGGTCTCAGTCCAGCCCTCCCTAGGCAGTCAGTCTGAGCAGAGATGTCTAGGTTGGGGTTGAAGAGCACCAGGCCAGGATCTCAGTGGCCACCACGGCCTGGTCCGACTGCGATCCCCATGGGCCTCTGGAATGTGTGGGTCGGTTTGTATGTGGGAGAACAGAGGCAACCCATGTTCTTCCCATGTGGTACAAGGTTCAATATATGGTATTGGCAGGGGTTTAAGTCTGGAGAATACGTTAAACAAAAGGCCCAGAGTCTCAGATGTTTCAACATAACAAAGGGCAAACATTATCTAATTATACTACAGCAGAAATGTAAAAGCACGTTTAATTGCACATGCACAAAGCATCACTTTCCAGAAGTCCCAACAGCCACTGGGTAAAGAGAGCTCTTCTTTTAATTTGTTTAATGTTTTTTTTATTTCGAGACAGAAAGACACAGAGCATGAGCAGGGCAGGGGCAGACAGAGAGGGAGACACAGAATCTGAAGCAGGCTCCAGGCTCTGAGCTGTCAGCACAGAGCCCGACGCAGGACTCGAACTCATGAACCATGAGATCATGACCTGAGCCGAAGTCAGACACTTAACCAACTGAGCCACCCAGGTGCCCCAAGACAGCTCATTTTTAAAAAGCATATTTACCAACAGTATAATCATTACCTTCATCTTAAAATTTTACCTAACAGCCTTTGGTCTGCATTCCCACGGGTTACTATCTCAAAGGTTTTAATTTTGGAGGCAGACTATCTCACCTTTTGAAATGTTTCAAGCTGAACATAAATTCATAGACTTTCAATAGCAGAACTTGTCTTTCACATCCAAAGAATTCATTCAGTGGCACAAGGAAGCACTCATGCATTAAATCAAACACTACCAGGTGGATTTAACTTCCATTCGTTTAGATATAAAACTTGTCACTAGGTACACTGTATATTCGCCCACGCTCAGACTGAGTCAGAGAAAATAATCTCACTAAGAATCCCTTACCCCTTGTTCCTTAAGACCCCGTTGATCCCACTTACATTGTGGCCAATGTTCGCCCTGCCCCCACCCTCCCCACCCCACCCCCGCTGTTCAATGAGATGGCAAACTACAGATAACTTATCAGAACACATTCTACCAAAGGGAAGAAGAGCCAAACTGACCATTAACTCTGCTCTTTGCTTCAACTTTTTGGCCTCCTTCATGTGAAAATCTGCTTGTTGTCTGAAAGAGAAGCAAAGATCAGGGGTGGGTCACAGGAACCTAGAAATTACTACTGGGGGCAAGAGGACTTAAGACTAAGAGGGAAGAAAGCAATGGGAGGAGACAGAGGGCAGAGGAGGGAGTCAGCAGAGAAGGGGCAGAGGGAAAGTGAAAAAAGCAGGAGCGGTGAGCATCCAGGGTCTTACCTGTCAAGCTTCACTGGAGGCTTCCCTGGTTTAGAATTACCATTTGGCAAAGAAGGCACTAGAAAAGGATTTGCAGTATCTCCAGAAGATCCCTTTAAAAAAATCATCATACAGATCACACTCCAACAGTTAAAACCATTGACCTAAAGGTACCACCCCTCTAAATTAGACCAAAATAGTAGTTCAAAAAAGATGAAATCAAGCACTGCACAGTTTAGCTTGGTTTAGCATTTTCCCGGCTAGATTCGACTGACACTGTAGGTTCTGATTATATTGAGGACTAAAAAGACAAGAATGTCCAGAAGAGATATTCAACAAAGCTAAACATAACATTTTCTCTTAGTCAATACACACACACACACACACACACACACACACACACAGGTTAGTGGGAAGAGAAGAACTTGTATTTGAAAAGTGGCTAATTTTGTCCCATTAAAACCAACAGTGAAAGTATTTGACATCAAACATCCAAACCGAGAACTAACCAGAGTAACCAATTTTTATTGCAAATCACCTGAGAGAAAATTAACACAAAAACTGATTCTGATTTTTCAACCTCTGAGTCACTTTAAGATGAATAAACTGATATCTAAACTTACATGGAATATTAACCATCTTTTTACTCTCCCTCTAAAAAGTAGAACTTTAAACACAAATAACTCACTGCAATACCACCACTGGGAACTTCTCTTACTGGGAATTTAAAGATGTATCGATGGACTCCGTTCCCTATGTCCCAGCAACCCTTGCTTACTTTGTGCTCTGTACAGCTTCCAGATCCCTTCCCCTCCACTCTTCTGTGCTTCGGAGCAGAGGAGTCTTTGTGGCTGCCCTTGCTACTACTGGCACTTTGGGGAGGGTCCTGGTCCGCTTCCCGCTTTGGCCTCTTTTGTGCAGGCTTGGCTGGCTTCTGGGAGGATGAGGACGAGGACGAGGAGGACACAAGTTGGGGGGAAAGCATTTCCTTCTTTGAGGGCTCAGAGGAGGGCCTGGGTGTTCTGGAAAGAAACATCACTCAAAATTGAGTTAAGGAAGAACACAAACCACATAACTTAGTTGTTTAGTTGTAAGATAAATGGCTGCTGACACCAAAAATTAAGAAATCAGACCATGAAATCCATTCTTGTAGAAAGGCCAAATTACAGAGACTTTGGTGCCTTTGAAAGATCTAGTTCTATCTATGAACAATGGATTAAGTGGTGGAATTTGTCACTAAGCTTGCAGAGCCTGCCAGAGATCCTAACCTCCCCTAACCCAGTTAGTCTTATTAGCTACTCCCCAACCTGTATTTTTCTCTGACAAGTGGGCAAGCCCAGCTGCCACCTTCACCCTCCCTCCCTGACTCCCTCTCAAATCTCTGCTGGCTCCCAGCCAGTGACACTATGCACTTTCTTTTGCCAAGTCCTGTTGGGAAGCGATTTCTTGACTTAACCAGAGAGTGAATAACAATTACTTTCTATATTCATACCTTCTTGGAACTACTCCCCTTCCCTTTGGCCCTCTCTCTCCAAAGCAAGAGACATAGTGAGCAGGCATGTGCATTCCTAGTAATTGCTTCAAGAAAGAGTGCTGAACCCAGGCTCTCAGAGTTCAAGTGCTGGTTCCATCTCTCAAGAATTCTGTGACTACAGACAAGTCATCTTCTCTCTCTGTGCCTTGGTTTCCAATTCTGAAGAGTAGGGTAATAGCAGCATCTTTCTAGTTTTTATTTAAAATGCTTTTAGAAAGAAGCTGTTTCCAGAAGTTCTGGAAATTTTCCATTGTTAAAATGCCTTTGATAAACCCAAGTTTGCTGCTCAGTGAATTGCTAATTCCTAAAAGGTCCTTTTCCATGGACGAAAGCAACATCAAACCAACCTATCTGCACATCTGAGCTGGACGTGTGTGTTAATCCACTCCTACTGCAAGAGAGAAATGTTTTTGCCCAGTCAAGACCCAGGAAGACTCAATCACCTTTCAAGGCTGTTGTTAATCTCTATACTCACTTTGTTTTAGAAGAATCTTTATGGGAAGATGAACATGATGGCTGTGCCTTGGTTTCTTTCTCCAGTCTGGCTTTCTTGCTATCATGGTCTTTCTCTGTGTCACCCTATGAGTGCAGCATAACAAAGTACACAGTTATAAACACAGTCATGCAGACAAAACAGAAAAGACTACACGGCAAAGTAACGACAGTAATCAGACTTTCGGCGACATCTATACCACACAGCAGACTTACAGGTACCTACACCATGTGTGTGTCGGGGGGGGGGGGGGGGGGGGGGTGTGGAGGGAAGCAGACAATCTAGATTTGATGAGGTTTGTACTGAGATTTCTGCCTGAGGAAGGAGTATTCTTCCCACCTAGGAAAGGGAGGATGTCTAAGTAATAGCTGATAAGAGTGATGGTCTTCAACAAATTACTGAAGTTTTTTAAACATAAAAGAATCAATAAAACACGCATATTCGCAGCAATAAAAGATGATTTTATGAATGAGGGTATCTCCCTTTCTTTCACAAGAACCATCCACTTGACGCCTATTAATTTTTTTCTCTTATTACTTTTAATTTTTTAATGTTTATTTTTGAGAGAGAGAGAGAGAGAGAGAGAGAGAGAGAGAGAGAGAGAGAGAGAGAGAGAGAGAGAGAGAGAGAGAGAGAGAGAGAGAGAACGCACACGCGAGCAGGGGAGGGGCAGAGAGAGGGTCCAAAGCTGGCTCTGCGCTGACAGCAGTGAGCCCAATGAGGGGCTCGAACTCACGAACCATGAGATCATGACCTGAGCTAAAGTCGGATGCTCAACCGACTGAGCCACCCAGACACCTCCCTTTTTTTAAAGACTGTTTTTATATTTCTCTTTTTTAATATTTTTATTTATTTTTGAGACAGAGAGCATGAGCAGGGCAGAGAGAGAGGGAGACACAGAATCTGAAGCAGGCTCCAGGCTCTGAGCTGTCAGCACAGAGCCTGACACGGGGCTCGAACTCACGGACTGTGAGATCATGACCTGAGCCAAAGTCAGACACTCAACCGACTAAGCCACCCAAGCGCCCCTATATTTCTCTACATAGATATGGGGACACATGTTTTTATTTTTGAAAAAATTTGAAAAAACTAAAGGATAAGTATAATTTGAGAGAAGAGTGATGAGCAAAACAGATATTTAATTCTACAGAGACGCACGTAATCGCAAAAACACGTTTATACCAACTAAAGTACAAGATAAACATATGCAATCGCTAAGAGAGCAAAGAATTCTTTGTCATTTGTCAACATGCAGACCAAGTTCACAGCAAGTCTAACACAGACCGAGTGACTTCGCAATGGCTTCCTTCCCACTGGTCTGGACTCACATGACCGAACGGTAAGCAGCAGTGAAGTGACAGGTGGGAGGTCCTTCTTAATTCTGATGCACATTTAGAACCAAACTCCTCCCACTGTCAGTTCACCAAGAGAAATCTGGGACACGGCCAGTGAAACTAGGACAATCCTGAAAAAACCTAAGATCCTCTCTCAAAGCCTTAAAGGAAAAAAACATTCTTCATATTAACTGATTGTGGAAGGCCCTGGTTTTCACCACAGTCTCTCCTTCATTCCCTGAATTTCTCCAAGAAAAATGAATAAATTAAGAGGTGTAGGCTCAAGCTCTGCCCCGACCCTAACAGCCTGACCCTGCTCAAAAGATGGGGAAAGAGGAAAAACATACCCCTCCTCCTCCAGACATTCTGCAAACAAATGTGCCTAAGTGTGTACATGCATTCAGCCCTTCCTATCTCCTTTGGAAAAACAGTTTTATTTCCTGTTCCAAAATTGACCAAAGGGGCTTAGAAAAGGTAACAGGTTTTTAATCTCTTGGTGTATGTACAAGTGAGATTATTAAAAAGGGTAAATATGGATATAGAAGAGAACTTAAATCCAAGGGAAAGCCTTTACCTTCCTGGAGGCTGATTCTGTGGGACCTGCACACTCTGGACAGCCCCCAGACAGCATCTAGAAAGAACCCGGATATGGGTAGTCCAAAGTGATTAAGTTCAAAGACAGTGCAAAAATGAGAAATATAATTATTTTTATATTGACTAAACAATGAAGTAGTGATGTTTTGGATATACTGGATTAAATAAAAATTTTTAAATTATTTTCACTGTGGGGGCACCTGGGTGGCTCTGTCAGTTAAGCATCTGAATCTTGGTTTCGGCTCAGGTCTTGATCTCACAGTTTGGGAGATTGAGCCCCATGTCAGGCCCTGTGCTAAAAACAAGGAGCTTGCGTGGGGTTCTCTTTCTCTCTGATCCCCTACCCCTGCGTGATACCTTTCTCAAAAACAGATATACAGGTTTTTTTTTTTTTTTTTTTTTAATTATTTTCACTGGTTTTTTTTTTTTGGTGCTACATATATTATGTACGTATATATATATGTGTGTGTGTGTGCGTGTGCATATATATATATATTTTTTTTATTAGAGAGAAAGAGAGCAGGGAAGAGGGGCAGAAAGAGAGAGAGAGATGGAGAGAACCTTAAGCACACTCCATATTCAGCATGGAGCCTGATGTGGGGCTTGATCCCATGACCCTGGGATCATGACCTGAGCTAAAAATCGAGAGTTGGACACTCAAAGGACTGAGTCACCTGGGTGAGGCTTTTTATATTTTTAATGTGGCTACTAGAACATTTTAAATTACATATGTGGTTTACATTGTATTTCTAGTGGACAGTGCTGTGCTACAGTTTTCAAGAACCAATCTGCAAACTGGGCTCTGAACTTCCAATTAGCTAATGCAAAGAAGGAATAATAAAATGTACAGGCTAAATAAGATAAAAAAACAAACCAGCTGCTCAAAAATATAACTATTTATTAGAGAATACTGGAGAAAAAGTATCTCGGGGGACCTAGTAAGGAGATAACGTGATGTAAATGAATAGCTACATCTAAAAGGCACAGCCGTTTCTCCTGTGACATTAAACACAGGCCAGCAGCAGAATTCAGGAGCACAATTCAGAAGAAATGAAAGGCACTGGCACATGCCAGGAGAAGCCTCCTGGGATTCTGCCCAGCACATGGATCCCCATTCAACAATTCATAATGGTAACACTTGAGAGATAGTCCATGTTGGCAGAGAAAAGAGAGTAAATTGGGAATGACTGGGTTAAAATAGAACCCTGCTATCCTCCTTGTCAGTTAAGAACCTACTTATGCCTGGGGCATGGGGGTGGCTCAGTCAGTTAAGTGGCCGGCTCTTGATTTCAGCTCAGGTCATGATCTCACAGTTTGTGAGCTCAAGCCCCGCACTGGGCTCTGTGCTGACAGTGCAGAGCCTGCTTGGGGTTCTCTCTCCCCCTCTCAATCAATCTCTCTCCTCTCTCCCTCTCTCTCTCTCTCTCTCTCTCTCTCTCTCCCCCTACCCTGCTTGTGCTTTAGCTCTCTTCCAAAAATAAATAAATAGTAAAAAAACAAATGAACCTACTTGTGCCCAAGAGTCTCTGCCACCAGTGGACCCAATGAATTCTCCTGAGTTTTAGATTAAAGGCTAGAAAGTTGGCAAGCAAACAGTGCAAGAAGATGGGAGATTTAGCTTTGGAAAGTCACAGAATTTGCTAAAATATACAGCTATTAACTTGCACGTGGAGTAGTTAGTAATACATACTTTTTCCAGTGGAAGGTGTTTCCAGGCAATTAATGACATTTAGGGTAAATTCCCAAGGCAAAATTAGGCATAAACTGTCCACAAGGTTACTTCCTTAAAAACAAAACAAAACAAACAAACAAACAAACAAAACCCACCAAACCCCAGAGGTGGAATGTGAGTTAATTTTTGTTTATAGATCTTCATGCTGCTTAGGACTATAAAACCAAAGTGGCAGACCTTATACACCACACATGAAAATAAGATTCATAATGAGTCAATCCTCACAGACCGGACATAACCCTGGCTTGCGCCAATCAGCGACTCAAGAGAACAGCCAAAAAACCCCAAGAAGTTACCACACAATAACTTCGACACAAGCATTTAACAACTGTGTTGGCACTTACTGGAATAATATACTGATTATATTGATGTGTAGAACTTACAAGCTGATAATATTCTTTAAGCTGGTAGAAAGTAAGCCATTAAATCAAATAAAGCAACATTCCCCTTCTGGTGATTTTCCTCGCCTGAGTTCAAGCCTGTGGGCTTGAGGTTAGTATTTCTGTACACTATGCACTTGGAACCCTGTCATCCTCTGTCTGGAACAGTCACAGAGGCTTCCCCAGAGTAAGTATTTGTCCGGTGGCACAGAAAGCAAGTTTAGCAGCTGACGGCACAGCTGAAGCCCCTGGAAACAGGACTGCAAGACAAGTCTCAGGGGGTGGATTTAGGAAAGGGCCATTAAACAGGGAGCCAAGCAATACAGAGCGTCAGGAAATGCACACTTGAATTCCAAGACTGAAAAGGAGGCAAGGAGTTCTTAAGATTTTCCTGGGACACGAAGCCATTTGAAAATGAGACAAGGGGCACCTGGGTGGCTCAGCTGGTTGAGCATCGACTTCAGTTCAGGTCATGATCTCACGGTTCGTGGGTTCGAGCCCCACAATAGGCTCTGTGCTGACTGCTTGCTCAGAGCCTAGAGCCTGCTTCGGATTCTGTGTCTCCTCTCTCTGCCCCTCCCCCACTCACGCTTTGTCTCACTCTGTTTCTCAAAAATAAATAAATGTAAAAAAAAAAAAAAAGAGAGAGAAAAGGAAAAAAAAAGAAAAAAAAAAGAAAATGAGACAAGAGCGATGCACTCTGTCTTCAAGAGGAAAAAGACGTCTCCTTTGCCCTTTGGCCTATTCACAGATCACCCCCCCTTACAAGGAACCCTTGTCTAAGGTCTGGGCTTCAGAAGTTCTCTTTTTCTAGAAGGATAAGCATCTCAAACAGGGCCTCTATCTACAACAAAAGGAGGCTGCTGGCTGATGACTGGTTCCTAACTGACTTGTTTGCTTTTCTTAACCCGGTGGGTCAGGCGGCCAAGGATTATCTGCCAAATGGCGCTCCACCTACAGAGTCCAGTGGAAGGGCAAGCATGAAGACCATACAAGGAAGAGATGGGGACTGTGCTGGGCCAAGCTGGTTCCTGAAAAAGAACACCCCCAGGGCAGCCTCATGCCCACCCCAGCATCTGGCTCACCATCTATGTACCCAAAGGTGGCAGAAGGAACATGAAGACAGCTTTAGGCCATAAAGTTTCTAACAGGTAGAAAGATGGTCTACCACAAGCTTTGCTATGGCAGGGAAAGATGAGGGGCATCTGAAAGGGAAACTGATGTAGAAGGGTGTGGGGGGAACACTGGAGTGGCAGGAGCAGGGACAATGCAGGGACTGGGCCAGGGATGACACTCTGTCAGTGTCCATACACTGCCCTTGAGCTGTAACCTTGTGCCTCTCTCCAGTAATCCCCCCACCAGACACCTGTGTACAAAAAGAAACCCCCATCAGGTGTGAAAGATAAGAGCATTGCTGGACTGGAAGGGGTCAGCACATGTGAGCTCCAGACCCACTGGTTGCTAAGCAGCCAAGCGATGTTAGAGCCGTCCTGGATCTCATCTAGAAAAGGGGGCAGCTGAACAAGGAACCCAAAGTGTCTCAGCACTCAAACTACCAGACTGTCCTCTCCCTCAGGAAAGCAAAGGAGCTTCGCAAGCACCTGGGGGTGGGAAGAGTGGAGAATCTTCTGGGCAATTCAGGGACTTTCTGGGATGTGCCTTTGCACAAAGTTCACTAAGACGACGACACAGTGGTCCAATCAGTACCGAGAACGAGGGCAGGGACTTACGGAGAAGACAGCTTACATTCACTGGGATAAGTACGACAGACAAGGAAAATTAGCCCACCTTTGGCCCTTCTTTTTGGTGAGGAAATACACAGGCATTAAAAATGGTTTAAGACAGTCTTCACACCACTCACATGGTCATGATGCAGAGTAACTAACAAGGCATGAAGTAATTAGATAGCAGTGACTTGAGGAAACTTCTAGTTTCTTTATAGGGATGACTTTTCAAACCCTTGATGTTGAAGAAGAGTAACTGGGAATGTTGATCTCAATAGGTAGTTTAAGGAAAGACAGATCTTGGAGAACGAAGGGACTGAACCAACCATCCTCAAGCAATAAAAATGCACTACATCCCCTAACTTCCTTTACCCATTCTCCAAAACTGACATAAATGATAGCTCTGAAATTGTATTTCACGAAATGCCAAAGCTTCTTGGTCCGTAAAGCAGCTATTAAGAGAAAGGAAAAGACAGGCTTGAATGAATATACCTCCTTGTTCAGACATATGTCTACACCATGGTTAGGACCTGCTGGCATTTCATTTGAAAGATGATCTATACAATGACTGAAATTAAATGAGATACTGTCAACAAAAGTGCCTAGAATAAAACTTAACTCACGCATGGAGCTTTGTGCGTGTTAAGTATGTTGTTAAATGCTCTCAATTGCACTAGACTGGTTGTATTTCTTATATTGTGCTTCTTGACTTTCATTTTTCTTCCAAGTCTGAGCAACATAAGCTTGGTTTACAAATTATATAAATGAAAACATAAGTTGTGTTTTAAATTCTAGTTCTTTTTGTTTTTAATGTTTTATTTATTTTTGAGAGAGAGCGTGAGCAGGGCAGGAGCACAGAGAGGGGGACAGAGGATCCAAAGCAGGCCCTGCGTTGACAGCACAGAGCCTGATGCAGGGCTCGAACTATGAACCGGGAGATGATGACCCGAGCTGAAGTCGGATGCTCAACCGACTGAGCCACCCAGGCGCGCCCCCTAAATCCTAAACTGTAATCAAGTTGATGAAATTCTGTAGTTTATGTAAGGAGCACTCGGTCAAGTCATGCGTGTTTCCCCTAATTTTCTCCACTTCTCCTCACAAACTGCTCCTTGCCCACTCTTTCAGGTGCCATATCTGACAGCTTCATCACAGCTACTGTCATCCACTGTAAGTCTTTAGGATTATCTTGTCACAATTTTAAGCCTACAGTGGCTTTAAGGATCCATTAACACTCTGAAAATAGTTGCTAAATTTTGCATCAGGAAAGGAACACACTGAATTTAAAATGAAAAACTAAATTTCAGGGGCACCTCGCTGGCTCAGTCCAGTCGGGCATGTGACTCAATCTCAGGGTCATGAATTCAAGCCCCATGTTGGACATGGAGCCTACCTAAAAAAAAGAAAAGAAAATACAAAAGAAAAGCTAAACTTCACTAATGTGAAGGATAAGGTACATTCTTCAAACTGCTCTCATTACTTCCGCAGACAGCTTTTTCTAGTGCTCCCACTTAAAATGAAGGCAATGAACAAATTTTCACCATCCAAATTTGTGGAAAAGCGCTCAGTCTTAAAATGAGAACAGTCCTGCCTGCCTTGGGGTCCAACCCCACATGCTGGAGGAGCAGCTACACTATGGGAAAGGCCACAGTCACGCTGCCCTGAACAAAGGGAGTCAATGGGGTCTCAACAGGAAAGGGGGAAGCCCGCCTGCAAAGGGAAGGATCTCAGGTTCCTATGACCAATATTCATACTACCTGGAACACAACAGGTATAAAAACAAAGGATCATGATTCTCTGATCATGAAATAAGTATACTGCTGAATTATTTTTAAGTTTATTCATCTGAAAGCTTCTAACTAGTGACATCCGTTAGGCAAGGAATTCCTCACTGCCTAGATCCATGATGTTGAAAAGTGGCACACGGGAGGTACTTCTCAATCCAAAGAACTAGCTTTGTACAATCTTGGCCCTGTGGTATGGCTCTGCTCCAGTGGTCCCCAGCTCCACTAGACATTAGGATTTAGGAAACACCAATGGAGGGAGGAAGGGAGAGGGACACAAACCTTGCCATCAGCATTAAAGGCACCCTGGTGACCATCACATTGGTTCAGACCCTGATCCAATCAGTTCCACAGCAGAGAGGCAAACTGTTCCCAGGGGCAGTTCTCTCTGCCGCCTGCCGAACACCCAAGAAAGCATGCATCTGACTAAGATGGGGGGGGAGGGGGGTCATTATTTCTCCATCCTCTAAACAAAGAGATCAATTAGCTGCCCTGGTGGAGCAAGGCCAAGGGCTGGGAATGGCTTTTAGAGTGCACAGCTCATATCCTCAACAGGGAGTGCTGAGTTTCCCTTTATGGAGCTGCAAGCGATGCTTCTAGTTTTGTGCTGGGGTATGGACGGGGCTAAGAACTGTCCGGGGGAGCCTCCATTTCTAACATCCACACTGGGTTAGTAAGTATTTTAGAAGCCAGTATTTCTCCCCACTCCAGCTACTGCAGAAGGGTCACTGGAGACTAGACAAGATCATGGTGGCTGGAGGTTAAGTGATTAAAAGATTTCCCAGGAGGAAGGGGAGGTGAAGGAGTATATTTCTGAACCTTTCTCGTGGGTATGAAATGCAGGCACCTTTTTCCTACCCAGAACCATCACAATTTTATCCGTGAAGTTTTACACCTTCAACACATACACATACCATTTTAAGGGTTCTCTGACCTGGGACATGCCCCCTTCTAGCTGAAACAGCACCACCAATCGGCACTGGATCCCACCCCGCTTGACTTGCCGGCTGCGGTTATGGTGGTAATGCACACCCTCAGGTCTCATTCAACAAGCTTCTGGAGAAAACAGTCACCCTTCGCTATTTGATAAAGTCATGTTCTATTTTTAACCTAGTGGAGTAACTGGTCGAATCACAGACAGGACAGCAGGCTTCATGATCTTTTTGTCCTTTGTTATTCTTAGCTCAATTTCCACAACTGAGTAAGAAGGTTTTGGTGGACTTGTGAGAGTGTTAAAACTTTTATCCCTTGTCAGCAGGAAAGAGCTGGCCCTTCTTGTGCCTTTCGTTCTGAATCTTGGGACAGATTAGGCTGGAATGCCACTGGGGAAAAAACCTGCTTATCTTTCACCATGAAGAGTATCAGGAGCTCAGTGATTCAGAATACAGGAAGGAAGGAGATTGTCCAAATGAATAGTATGTCCAAGTTAACTCAGGGTCTTAAGTAATGTGAGATTTTTTTTTAACCTTCTTCACTGTGTTTATTCCTTAAAGTGAAGTTTCCAAAAATTATGATAAATGAAATGACAGATTTTTAATACCTCACAACATACCATTACCAGCCTGTATTACTCAACAAGATATCCCAACCATGTGTTTAATAGCTCTATAACCTTTTTTTTTATAATGTTCTGCTTATTAATAAAAGTCTTTAATAGAGGTCACAAATTCTAAATCTGGTAGTTTCAAATTAATGAAGTGTTAGGCAGCCGTGAGTTAAAATATAGATGTAATATTGGTGGTGTTAAAAAGAATCATATTACGGGAGTAAAATTTAGAGTATAGCAGTTCTTTCAGTAATTCAGAATACTAATTAACATTTCAGTACATTAAGATTTTAATTTCTAGGACAAAACCTAATCATGGGCCAGGTGGTAAATACCAATGTTATCGGAAAAAATAAAAGTGTACCCCCAAAATGCTACATTATCCTAAAACAAGACATCCTTTAGGAGGACTGCCTCCCCTTTTCAGACTGTTGAAGGGACCTGGCATCTGGTAATGCCCGCTGGCAGAGGGGGAAGCATGCAGATCCTCAGGGAGAGGGTAATTCTGGTGTCGGAGCAAAGGCTACATCAGATCAAGGCAAAGGTTCCCTGTCTCTTCTAGGACAACTCAGGGGTCAGAGCCAGCCCCAAGCCAACAGGAGGTACAATCCACACGGCTGGGGGAGGCCAGACACCTACACTCACCTTTCTCTTTTTGGCCAACTTGCTTGAACTGTCTGCGCCTCTCTTCTCGGGATCAGGCTTCTTCCCTGTGGCGGGCTGCTTGTCCTCCGGTCTCTTCTGGCGGCCCCCCTTCCCAGGAAGCTGGGGTATCCGAGAAAGAAGGTCGAGGGTTATCTTCACCATCAAGATCGGCGGGGGAGCGGTGTCCCTGAGCGGGGAGAGCAGCTTGGGGTCTCTCGTGGGCCCCGGGAGTCTGTCCTTCCGGCGGTCTTCCTGGACAACCACGGCACGCCGGCAGCCGCTAGTCCTTCCACCGCCGCCCTGGGGCGGGCCCTGGCTCTGGGTCAAGGGGACCAGGGCAAAGTGCTCGGGGCTCCTGGCCCCCACATTGTCCTTCGTGGGCTCCGGGCCCGAGAGCGCCTTCGAGGGGGCCAGCGGCCCACTCCTGTGCTTCTTCCTCTCACTGGGGCTGGGGCTGGGGCTGGGGCCGGGCGCCACGGGCTTGGGCTCTCGGCCGTCTCCTGCGCGGGGCCTCCCTTTCGTCTTCACCTTGGGCTTGTCTTTGGAAGGCTGGTCTTTGGAGCCGTAGGGAGGGGGTCCCGGCTCACTTTCCACCTGCAGGCTGGCCCGCGAGTCTGCCTGCGCAGGGGCCTTGACGGGCTTTTTGGGCTGTTTGTTTCCGACGGTCTGCCTCTGGGGAGCCTCCTGTTGGGCGGGGGACTTCTGACAGCTCCTCTTGCCGGCGTGCAGGCCTTCCGAGGGGCCCCGAGGGCCCTTGCCGGAGCTCTTGAGGGCAGGATCTTTGGATTCCGAGCGCTCGTGGCTGGCGGCACCACCACCGCCGTCGCCCCCGCCCTTGCCCTTACTCTCTGGGTGCCGAGGCGGAGGCTCCGCGCTCCCCAGGGCGTCCGGCGCTGCTACTGGCTGGCTCACTTTGGTCAGCCAGTTGTCCAGCTGCCATTTGTTTGTTGTAGGAGGCTCGGGCTAAAAACCAAGGAGTAGAGAAGAATGTGAGCTAACCAAGGATGATAAACTCTTCTGTGCTAGTCACCCAATTGTATAGGACTCTCCCAGGGAGACGTAATCATTCCAAACCTAAGAATTTGAGTCCTTTTTATCCCCTCTAGATACAGGTCAGAGCCTCTTAATAATTAACTCTTAAAACAATCTTCCCATCTTTTTGTGCTACAGGAATTTTGCCGTAGCAGATATCGACTAATAACAGACCATGAGATATTGACCGATGTAGACCACTGACAACTGGGGAGAAATCTTTGTAGCAAGTATTTTGTTCTAATAGTAATTCCAGTATAATTTAGACAGAAATGACACATTTTGGCTCCTAAACTATCCTATCAGAAAATAAAGGGAAAAATGAAGAATAAACAGAATCCTTTTATCAAGGATTTTCAGAAGGCTAATGAGTAAACTAATAATCTTAGTGATTACCTATAGGCTTTATCCTTTTTTTTTTTTTGACATACTTTTCAACTGAAAAGCACTTTCCGCAAGACTTGATTTCATTTCTTTACTTAAAAACATTAAACATTTATACATGACAAGGTTTGCAGTATGTCGTGGAATACGGCTTGATTTTCAAATTTTACACCTCGCTTGGGTAAAAGAATCAAGTGAAGGTGCATTAACCACTTGAATTTAGTCCCACTTGAAGTCTTTAAAACTCAAACATTACGTCTCTTGTTACAGGCAATCTTATCTGAAATAGCATCTATTTTTCTAAGAAACACAGGGTGGCTCCAGAACACACAATTAAGAGCAGTGAGATGACACTGATTATATGTACATCTGATAGGACAAACAAACAGAAGTTCCTGGCTTCTCCTGGTATCTTAACTGTTTTTCAAATCTTTGTTGCTCACTGGCTATTGATGCATCCTAACACGTCTCTCCAAGTAGATTATTAACAGAATGACCCAAAGACGTTTCTGTCTCCAAGTTCCACTCTTATGTTTGCAATACAGTGATGTACATGAGATACTTACTTAAAGCATTTCTACAGGCATGTTACAGCACCTATACATTTTACGCCATATGGAAACATTAGTGTCTAATAGAGTAGGCAACGATTATGCCTTTTCAAAGGGCAGCACATCACCGACATGCTACATGTTTTTTAAGATCCATTCTGATCTGTGGTTTGTATGAGTGACTAAACCATATATGCAATGTACCAGAGAGTTAACTGAAAGATATTCCACATAGGATTTAACTGGTTAGAGATTAGGGATAAGCAGATCACTCCAGTAGGTGGATGATATTTTACAGGAAAGACTGCTAACAACTTTCTGAAGTGGAATGTCCCAAATAATTCAACTCTATAAAAACACTACAAATTGATACGTCAAGACGTGGATATAATGTAAAGGATTTTTGACCAGAAAAAAAGTTAGGTAATAAAATGATCAGGGAAGTAGTTTGGGCTTGGTGTGATGAAAACAGAAGAGGAACTGTAAGGAACCAGGTAGGACCATAGTTCAGCCAGAAGGAGGGCTGCAGAACTGTTTTTTTCTGCTTACCCTTCATTGCTGCTTAATATATCTCCTTCAATATCAACTCTACACCCAGGCTCTCATTTGAATTTCAGAGCAGAAGGGAAGGAAGAAGGAAACTACTCTAGTGTGCCAGGCATTTATTTTGCCACAGGAAATCTAAAACCGTATTCCATATCCTAACAAGACAGGATGATTGTTAATAGTGGAGAAAAGATTAGCACCCAATACCTACTTGTCAAATATGACTTCCTGCAAAGGCTTGAGGGTGTGGTAATCTGGGTGCTAACCAGGAACAAGGCATTAAGATATATCACTTGCCAATCACCTTAGGAACCAAAACTTTCAAATCCTTTCTTGGGAGAGGTATGGATCTCTCACCAAGGCTAAGTTTACAGCCCCACCGACATCACTGACATGCTCTATAGAAGAGTATTTATTCGTGAACCAAAAAGGAAAGTCATTCCTGGTATAAATAACATCTGTTCTCCCCCCACCCCAAAACAGGGCAGTATAAGATACATTTAGTAGGAATGTCCTACTAAAGGAATGTCCTGGTTACAGAAATAAAACACATTTTCTTCAACTATGGTCCTAAAATTGTCCAGAAGGAAGGCATATGGCCCAATTGCAGGGTAAATTTGAATTTATGTGCCCAGACAAGGAGAAAAGGTATGGACAATCCCTTCTACAGACCTGCCATAAAGATGTAAAATGGATAGAATTATTTTAAGATCAGATATTATTTGGGTGTTGGGATAAGGAAAACTTTTACATTAAGGGATTGAATGAAATAGATTTTAAGATGAATTTTAAACGCTGGACAGGATCAAGGTTTGGACTTTCCTTTCTTCCCCTGCCTTTCCTCATGCCCCGCCACCAGTCTCCCAGTCCAGTGCTGGTGCAACCCCAACACTGCACACTGGGTGTGAAAAAAAATACCGGATTTTCACTAGGGTTTTTTTTTTTTGTTTTTTTTTTTTAATTTATTTTGAAAGGGAGAGCATGCACGAGTGGGGGAAGGGGCAGAGAGAGAATCCCGCTCTGTCAGGGCAGAGCTCGAACCCACCAACTGCGAGATCATGACCTGAGCCAAAGTCAGATGTTTAACCCACTTTGCCACCCAAGCGCTCCTCAGTAAGTTTTAAGAAATGTTTGACAATACGTCCCTTTACATCTCCTAACTCCTCAAATTGGTGGAAGTTCATGCATTTTAGGATAAATTGTGGTTCTGAATAAAAAGTTTTGAGCTATGCACAAATATGTCTCCTTTGTTTTTTCTTCGTAAAAATGTCGTTATGAGTCTCAAAATGTAAGGAAAAGAGGGAAAGGAGAGGACTATGAGAGAGAGGCGTGGTGTAGTAGCAAAAAATGCTCTGGAGTCACATGGCCATGGGCCTAAATCTTGGTGTTGCTACCTTTTAACTGGTAAAAAGACAGCTCCCAACCTCCCACGGTTGATGGAGAGCTAAGTCAAATACCTCATTAAAAAATACCAAGAGCATATGGGAGGCAAATCAACAAAGGCGTTTCACTATAAACAAAGCGGGACAATGAATCTATGTTAGAAGACCAAGTAGATCCTTGAATAACGGAGAATAGAATCATTTTTTCTTAACGTAAGCAGTAAAAAGACGATGTGTCCCATATATTTGGAAAAGCTGAGATTTACATTTCGATTCACACTATAAAGCAGACACCGAAAGCAGCTTCCCCCAAATTGCCAGCCCATTGGTGGGCATACGGCATTTCAGATCACCTAAGATCACTGGACTACTTTATCAAATGGATTTAAAATGGAGCCATAACAAGCACAAATCTCAGCATTAAAAATAGATTTCAAAAAAGGGTGATGGGGCGGCTGGGTGGCTCAGTCGGTTAATCATCTGAGTCTTGGTTTCGGCTCAGGTCACGATCTCACGGTGTTTGAGCTCAAGCCCCGTGTTGGGCTCCATAGCTGGAGTTTCAGCTGCGTGGGTTTCATCCTCTCTCTCTCTCTTTCTCTCTCTTCCTCTGGCCCTCCCCTGCTCGCACTATCTCAGTCTCTCTCAAAGTAAATAAATAAACTTAAAAAAAAAATTCTCTCACACATGAGATTTACAATAATGCAGGTGTTTCTTTGAAAAGAAAAGAAGGTATGGGGCGCCTGGGTGGCTCAGTCAGTTAAGCGTCCGACTTCGGCTCAGGTCATGATCTTGCAGTTCGTGAGTTCAAGCCTTGCGTGGGGTTCTGTGCTGACACCTCGGAGCCTGGAGCCTGCGTCTCCCTTTCTCTCTGCCCCTTGCCTGCTCACACTCTGTCTCACTCTCTCTCAAAAATAAACATTAAAAAAAAAAAAAAAAACTTAAAAAAAATATATAAATAAATAAAAAATAAAAGGAAAAAAGGTAGTTAAATACACCGGGGGGTGGGGATGGGAATTAAAGGTTTAAAATCTACACAAAGACAAATTATTTCTGGTGACATCTCAGTACATGACATATAAACTGCACCCAAATCTAGACTTGCTCATCAGCCCAAATGTGCAAATATGAGCCTGTTTGGTAAGGCAATTTAAAAAAATAAAGTAGGATGGGAACATTTATTTTTTCAAAAAGTCTCAATCTTTTCCAGTAACTTTTGAACAACAAAATATAATGGTTTCATTAATATAAATGCTAGATGAAATTTTTCTTTCAAGTTTCAATTATTCAGCCAAATCTGTACCATTTCCATTTTATTTGAACTGAATTTTATTATTTAATTCAATTCTCTTCCTTCTTTTAGTAACCAAACAAGCATGAAGATTTTTCTAATTGAATAAGGAGACATAAAGCAAAGTTCTTATAAGCAGGGAACAAGCAATTTGTCTACAAAGCATTTTCAGTATCTTTTCCCTGATGCACAGAATAATTATTTCAACAGTAATTAGAATCACACAAGGAAACAGCCCCCAGAAACACATAGAGTAGTTTCTAAAATCTGCAAGGCATTTTAAGTACAGTTAATGCTGATTCATGTTTATTCACTCCAAAAAAATATTTATTGAGCATTTAGTCTGTGCCAGACATAAATTCATGTCTAACAAAAAAATGACACTCAGTTATTTTTCCTTGCCCTCAGACATGGCTGTTAAGTCTCACTACATTATCTCCAGATGCATTCAGTTAATGCTCTAGTGGAACTGCCCTGATTTCTAAACAGATGTAAATATTGGGAACTTGAACGCTTTCTTAATCAGAAAGGTTCATTTCCCAGGATTCCCATCTAAAATGAGCAGAGTAATTTTCTCTATACAAACTGGTCTAGTTCATTCACCAAAAAGGTCTTCCCTTTCCACCAAGTATAATTTTTACATTGCTACTCCACGTTTTGAGGGCCTCTGGCAACCCTGATTGTTGTTACTAGACTTCTTGTATTCAACAATCCAGTAAAAAAATAGAATAAGTCTTCTAGATAAACGTGCTTGCGATTTGCAGTCTCATCTGTTTATCTTACAGTTTCTCCCAAGGGTGGGTGACAGGCACACACAATTATCCCTGTTTTACATGGAACACAGGGAGCAAGAAACACAGCCCTGGCAAGATCACTTTGCCATCAATTTAATGCATGGCTTTTAGTGATTCAAAAATAGAACCTCTGATGACTTATTTCTAGTTCACGTTCCTGTCCTATGCTAAATTGGGCTGTCTCCTTTTGATTTCCTTAATTCATGCATTCCTGAAATTTCAAAAAGAATTCTCATTAATATTAAAACAGCAGCCTACTGAAAAAAAAAAAAA